TATTGTTGATACTGCTTAAGGCATAAAACCAGCTCACCGCAACAACAATTACCTCTCACTCAAAGGACTGGTTAAGACACTGGAGTCGAGAGAAAATTATTGTCAGGGTTTCAGAGGATTTTTCATAAACACACTCCAATATTGAACAAATCGGGTCACTGATTAATGCAAATAGAGTTAAACTAATTTTGGCTTGTGATATAAAAGTTGCAAATATAATTTGTGGTCTTCAAACTCATTCAAGTACGCACCCTTGCACCGAATGTGTCGTCAAATCCAATTGTCTTGCCAAATTTGGAAACTTGCGAGCACTGGACTTAATTAATGCAAGCTATAAATCTTTTCAGCAATCTGGCGGGGTTGTTGCTAATGCAAAGCTGTTTGACATTATCATTCGAAAGACAATCATCTGCAGGCTTGTCAATGTTCTGACTTTGAAAATCATTCCACTGATGAAATTGCATCTCCTCTTGGGAGTTGTTACCCATGCTTTCAAGATCCTTAAAACTGCTTGAATAGAAGCTGTTGAGTGGCCAGCCGCCCTCCACATTTAACTGAGCCCGTATCACGGGGCCCAGTTTGAGGGAAATAAATGCAGGAAGCTTCTTAAAAATGTGGATATGCTGCAGCAACTTGAAGCATACAAAAGCTTCAATTTAGTTGTCAAGGCTTGCTTTGGACAATCCTTCAGCCAGATTTCGCTGAAAATTAATAGTTTTCACTTCATTTTAAAAATGAATGTATTTAAGGAGGTCAATGCAAAACATTTTAGGAGATCTAATTTTTTTTTGAAAGTCACTACTTTGGTGTATAAAAGGAAAATTGTACATGTACCGATAAAACAATTACAATAAAAATTGTTGGTAGTACATAGTAGAAAACTCATGTAACCATTATTTTACAAAGATTGACCAAATTTTAAAGTAATCAGTAACGCTTTAAGGTATACGTAGAAAAAAACTGAAAAAACTTTAACTAAAACTGCAATAAATTTTATACCAGTGAACTAATCAGACTAAAATTTTTCCAGAGTTTGGGGTAAGTATTGGCAACATTTGATTATATATATATATAAATATATATACATATATATATATATATATATATATATATATATATATATATATATATATATATATATATATATATATATATATATATATATATATATATATATATATATATATATATATATATATATATATAAGTATACATATATATATATGTATATATATAAATATATATATATATTAATATATATATATATATATATATATATATATATATATATATATATATATATATATATATGTATATATATATATATATATATATATATATATATATATATATATATATCTATATATATAAATATATGTATATATATACATATATATATATATATATATATATATATATATATATATATATATATATATATATATATATATATATACCTATCTATCTATCTTTATATATAAATATATATATATATATATATATATATATATATATATATATATATATATCTATACATATATATATATATATATATATATATATATATATATATATATATATATATATATATATATATATATATATATATATATATACATATATATATATATATATATATATATATATATATATATATATATATATATATATATATATATATCTATACATATATATATATATATATATATATATATATATATATATATATATATATATATATATATATATATATATATATATATATATATATATATACATATATATATATATATATATATATATATATATATATATATATAATATATATATATATATATATATATATATATATATATCTATATATATCTTTATCTATATCTATATATATCTATATATATATATATATATATATATATATATATATATATATATATATATATATATATATATATATATATATATGTATATATATAGAATATAAAGTTTATATTGTATATAAACTTAAATTTTTGAACTTTTTATTTATTATACAAAGCACAATTGAAATTAAACACACGGCTATATTAACAAAATACGTCCTTTTTTTATGTAAATAATTTTTTTAAAAAACACCTAATATTACATTTTTTTAAATTTAAGTAGCCCAGTTTTTATCAATCATATAATGATGGTGCATTTATTTAATAATTTAAGTTTATAATCTAGTATTTATTTTAATTTCTGAACAATGGCTTTTATAATTTTCAAACAAATAATTTAGCTTTTAAAACCTCTTCTAAATTTATTTTATAAAATTTTAATTTAATAGATATTTTAATTGTTTAATAGTTATGCTTACAGAAGCCAGTACTTTTTATTACAATATTAAATTTGAGCCCTATAAATGTTTGCTATTATAAATTATAAAAACTCAAAAACGAGGTGGAACAATTTCAAAGAAATATTGGGCAAAGTGGAATGATTTCTTTTATTGATGGCTAAGGAGGATTGGCGTTCCTATTCCCGTTATACTCCCGTTATGGTCATTTTAAAGCTTTTAATTTAAAATGTCCGTTTCAGGTTGTTTTTTAAATAAATTATTCTAAAAACTCAAAAATATTTAAAAAATTTTTTAAAAATGTTTTTTTTATTTTATTTGATAGACTGCCTGCCCAAAGCAAACCCTCATTCGATTTCATTCGACAATCAGCCGTTTTTTAAAGTGTGATCTGCTAAATATTATTTGGCAGATCACACATTATTCAATTATTATTTGGCAGATCACGCATTATTAAAATGTAATTTTTCAGATCACAAAATAGAAAATGGCTGATTGTCTGTCTGTGATAATCTGCTCTGCCGTTATTAACATTACAATGATCGGCTCTGCCAAACTGCACTGCCGGTTGTATTATGATCTGCCGAAATATTTGGCAGATCACACATTAGAACACGGCAGATCACTTTTTTTTGGAAAAAAAAATGCGGCAAAAAAAACGTTTATGTTTAAATAGTCAACTCATAGTTCTTTCTATTCGAAGTGCATTGTTTTTCATAAAAATATTTGGCGATCACATTGTAAAAATTCTATTATATGATCTGCCGAAATATTCGGCAGATTGCACATTAGGAAACGGCTAATTAAATAATCTGCTCTGCCGTTATTAACATTTCACTAATCTGCTCTGCCAATCTGCTCTGCCGATTGTACCTACCCAAATAAAAACACTCAAAATGTTTTTAAAAACATTCAAAATGCGTTTAAAAACATTCAATGTGTTTAAAAGAATTGCAGTTTTTTAAATTGCAATTTTGCAATTTAAAGAACATTATATACATTTTAAATTGCAAAATTTTATATATAAATATATTATATATGTTAATTAAAATTATTAAAAATAAATTATATATATATATATATATATATATATA